AATGTAGATCACAACGTATTACTTGGACGAATTTGTCAAATTCATATCGTAGTTCTAAACTACCGAAACAAACTATTAAAAATGTAGAAAATCTAACTAATTTTCTAACTAAATTGGCAACTCCGTCTGACACTAACTGAAGTTAAAGAGTTGATCCAATTTTTTAAGAAACTAATGTGATTTTTTCTTTTACAATTTTCTAAACGAATTAATTTAATGATACATAAGTCTACGCTTCTAAGGAATTTGGCACATTTTCCTGAACGTCTGGATTAGAACAACTTGAGTTTCCATTTCGAGATGGGTCTTTGAAAAATCGTGACCTGCCCGTGCTCTTTCCCGCCTAAGATATAGACATACAAAGGAACGTAGTCTAGGATTCGGTCGAAATCTGTTTCGTCGGACATGGTTTTTTCCACTCGGATTCGTTCCGCTCTACCAGCGCTGTGTGCTCTTCTTTTGGAATCTTTTGGACGTACATTATCTAAGGCTGGAAAGTTGGAAGGATGATTACGCAGCGAACTCCTATAAAGAACTTTGGTATTTCTATTAATAACTCCGTTGTACTCTTGCAGTTCGAGAAGATCTTCCTCCGAGCTTTGAACCCCCAAAGAACTTTGATGCGTCAGCAGTTTAGCAACGTGTTTAATATCAGGACCCATGTAATTCGGATTACAAAACCCAAAAGGACCATCCTTCTCCCTATTCTTCTGGTTTTCGTCGTGGTTGGTTTTGACACTATAATTACTCGCAGAGGATAGCCGATTCATGGTTTCGATGCTAGCGTAATCCGACGTCGAAGACACGTTTTCTTGTTCGTTCTGCAGCTTCATCATGTGTTGGTAGAGAGGGTTGTCGGCGTAGCCCAAATGAGAGTTGTAACTTTCGCCTCGTTTCGGAGGGTTGTTGAAGCTCAAACTTGCCCTTTTACCAACTTGAATAGTGTCATTAGGGTAACTATCATTCATAATTTCGTTTTCGTCATCCGTGTCCAAATAAACTAACTTCGTGGCTTCTACTGGTGTCAAAGCCGGAGTTGGTAACGTCAAAGCAGAAAAATTAGGTACTGAGATAGGCTCTCGTGTGATTTTTTTCGTCAAGTCGATCCTCCTCCTCTCGACTTCCTTCTGCTCGTCGTTATCAATTTGGTACTTCTTTTTTATCACGTATGCTGACTTGGACTTCACCATGGTGCTTCTTGGAGTGATATCAGAGTCGGTTTCTTCAAAGTTTGGCGGAGTGACGTGCTGCTTCAGCAAACTCTCCGTACTGTCAGTGGTACGCCCAGCAAGCACAGTATAGCTATACTTGCTATTCAACCTAGAAATCTGCGATATCTTCGTTATTTCTTGCAGAAACCCTTTCATCGGTTTGTCTTTGCTTGATGCACCTCACTACCATCAGTATAATTAGTTTGAGACGGCTGGAAAATCTCCCGTTTTTTGTTCAATGAACAAAATGATCGGTATTGAAAATATTACGAGCCTGACGTCCACTGACCTGTGTGAAAACCAAATTATCGTGTTCACGTAATGGACACCAATTTGGGTTTCCGCTTACTAATTTTTCTGAATGTCATTTTGTTATTAACTGTGATTTACGTAAAATAACTGTGCAGGACGACCACTTTTAACTGTTACTTTCCAATGTTTCCCTATTTTTAAATACGTAAAAAAGTCAGAGTATTTTTCTAGAATTAATGAACAAACCGTGTTACTTAATTCGTCGTTAAACCTGGCTTTCACATGTTGATTTGTCATCCAATAAAGCAGCTGTTGTTTAAGAAACAAACTCTTGTTTTCTAAATTTCGGCCGAAAAAACGTGCCTTGAATATTAATTTCTCGACCGCCTACCACAAAATTGGACAAATTAATTCATTCACTATCTCTGCATCGTTTAATCGTGAAAAAATAATCAACAATTCGTGCGTTGTTATTATTTGTGTAGAGCTTTTATTTCAAAGTCCCAGTTCAAATTAAAAAGGTCCGTTCCTTGGCCGTCGTGCAGCCGAATATTGGACCGTGTTTTCCCGATTGGTAAATAAGACGGAAAATATTTGGCGTTGGGGGCAAAATTCACCACTTTATAAGACCCCTACAAAACCACAATGACTTTAACTGAACCACCAAACGTCCGAAATACCCACTTTTTTCATATTACACAAACTTATGTTGAACTGGGCGTCTTCAAACTGTTGCTTAAGCGAAAAAATGTTTGCTTTTTCGATTTTACAAACATCGGCGGTCATTTGAGTCCCAGTGTACCTATATTCGTTGTGGAAAAACTGAAACGCCTTCAAAGTTCCCTAAAACGATCGATTAAAAGAGCGAACAACTAATGTTCAGCTGTTACCAGCAACTTGCGATTGGTAACATCGCGAACGATATCGAAAGACGCGTTGACGGCCAAAAACGTCCTGTTTACTTTCCCAAAATGAAAATATACGTTTTTAATAAATTTGTCGTTGACGTACAACAGCTCCGCTCTTTCAGCCACGAATTCGTAATTCTGAAAATTCACTTCGTTATTAGCTGAAATTACATTATTTTTCGCATACTCTGCTTTCTGAAAATTGTATATGTTTGATCAGGCATAGCGCAGCAAAAAGACCACAGATGAAAAATTTGTGTCTCATGTTGTAGCCAAGTCGTAACACTGTTGATTTTTGGCAGAAATTTTTATCGACGATCTGTAATTTACTAATTTCCGCCAAAATGATATTTTGCTAATGATTATCACTGCATCATTAAGACCTTACTCGTAGATCATAATGAGCATTTAACTGAGGATGAATGTTTTACTATTTTAAATGTGTTTTTTTCGATGGCATTATAAATGCCATTGTAACACTAAAAATATCATTTTGTTTATTCCCCTAACAAATCGATGACGTCATCTGGCAAAATTATTTAGATGTGCATCCGAAGATTGGAATGCGATCTTGTTGCACTTTAGCAGTAAGAATTAATTATGTTTTCGTTTCATTTTCAACATCAAGGACGCTCGGTGTTAATGAACATTCTGACTTGTTTGCAAAATAGAGCCTGAAGAAGAGGACAATCTGCTCGAAACGTTCATAAAGTCGAGAACTTCTATTGATCACTTATTCTAGAAAGTGTAGATTCTCAATCGACAAAAAACTACTAATAAAAAATTAAGTAGCACACTTTTCACATTTTAGAGAGCATAGAGGTCACTAGATCAATTTTTTATGTGGCAATTCTAATTAAAAGTATTCCAGTGTTGTCTTAAAGAAAACAGACATAGTTCCTCCGATTTAGTCTTTTTGGGGACACTTTTCAAACTTTCAATTTTGACCACTGTGCTCTTACGATTTGATTTTATTAGCAGTAACTGTACTAGGTTTAATAGTGGTTTAATAATGGCCTCGTTACAAAAAAATACTCTACACACACGGGTTATGGTTCAGCTGTTTCGAATACCTTTTTTTTTTTTAGGAAAATGGAATTGTTAGAAATGGTTTTATACATGGGCAATTTAATGGCCACCACTCCCACCAAACCACCAGGACAAATTTATCCTTCAGTTGTGCTAACTTTTTTCGTGGTGAACGTAGCAGCGGCCACCATTTTCAAGAAATCTGATTACATGAGTATGATCCACGTCAAATTCGTAATCGCCGTATTAATGGACTCCACTTTGTTCATTTTCAATTTAATCGTAATAATAATCCCGGCTTTTTGGAAAAGGAAAGAATGGTCCAAACTTGTCAAAATATTAACAATATTGCGCTCACTACAAAACAAAAAATCATCACCTGTGTATTTCATTCTCATCCAGATAATTTTCTGGGCTATTACTTTGTACGACACTTACGCATGGACCATGATTATGGAATTCGAATTTCTAAAACAATACGGAATAGAAATCCTACAATCGTTTCTTTTGTTCCACCACCAGTGCTTACTTCACGTCGCTATTAACATAGTCCTTGACGGCTACAAAGACGTTATCACCAAATTTTACACCATCGAACTATTAAATAAAGAAAGCGCGAAAATAATTAAACACAAATTGGGTTTGCTGCAAGTGTGTGTTCAACTCTTCATGAAGTGTTCGGCTGGCCTTTTCTTTTAATTATCGTGTACACGAGCTTGCAGATGTTAAATTATTTCGATGATAGTTTTGAAAACGGATTCTTGTACGACGAAAACGAATACGACGAAGTAATTATTTCTAACGTGTGTTTTCTCATAATTACAGTCGTAAGTTTGTACTTTTGTATCATTCGAAATGATAATTTTGTTCTAGATTTACACGGTTTTTTTGATATGGTTGTGGGATTCGGTTTTAGCAGAAGTCGACAAGATCCAACACTTTTGCAGAAACGTTACTGAGGAGCTCCAAACAAACTATTTTGTTATTATCAGCAAGGATATTGTCAATAATTGTCCAAAATTATCAGTGGCTGATTTTTTTTACGTGGATAGAGCGCTTATTTTTAATATGTTTAGCGTCACTTTTACTTTTTTGATAGTCATGATTCAGTTTAAAGAGCGTGCTAATTTAAGTAGTTATGAATATTTGAACCAATAATGTTGCACTTTTTATTTAAATTAGTTAGATAGTTTAAGTTCAGAATCTTCACGATGATGTTAACCTTGTAGTTGCGTTTTTCACGTTTCAACATTATTTATGGATTAAAATACGCAATAAAAATATTCTCCACGCTTGAAATGACACAAATATTATTTTATTTAAATTACTGCAGAGTTCATTGCAGTCATTACGTAAACGTGAAAATTAACAGTGCGTACATGTTGTTCTTTGTTAACAGAACAAGAGTATGAATAGATTTTCAAAATTACGTGATTAATTAGAGCGAGTTAATTATGTCCATAGGGAGATCATTTTCGGGATCAGATAAAACCGATACAATTTAGTGATTGATTCTAATGACTCTGCAAATTAATTAGTGTGTGGACTTTTTAACTTCGGGGTGGGCAAGGTTAATAAACCACGGTCAGAACATTCACTGCAAATTTTACTTAAAGTTGGACTTTACAAAGAACAGTTTCAACAACGATGTACTTTCCAAACAAAACACGACAGGGTATACAACATAAACTTGTAAAATTCGGTCGCCTACATTATAAGTTTTTGTTCAAAATATATTGCACTTTTTCTAAATCTAAAAGGCTTCGTCCGAAAATAGTAAATATTATTGTTCCGAATGTAGATCACAACGTATTACTTGGACGAATTTGTCAAATTCATATCGTAGTTCTAAACTACCGAAACAAACTATTAAAAATGTAGAAAATCTAACTAATTTTCTAACTAAATTGGCAACTCCGTCTGAAACTAACTAAAGTTAAAGAGTTGATCCAATTTTTTAAGAAACTAATGTGATTTTTTCTTTTACAATTTTCTAAACGAATTAATTTAATGATACATAAGTCTACGCTTCTAAGGAATTTGGCACATTTTCCTGAACGTCTGGATTAGAACAACTTGAGTTTCCATATCGAGATAGGTCTTTGAAAAATCGTGACCTGCCCGTGCTCTTTCCCGCCTATGATATAGACATACAGAGGAACGTAGTCTAGGATTCGGTCGAAATCTGTTTCGTCGGACATGGTTTTTTCCACTCGGATTCGTTCCGCTCTACCAGCGCTGTGTGCTCTTCTTTTGGAATCTTTTGGACGTACATTATCTAAGGCTGGAAAGTTGGAAGGATGATTACGCAGCGAACTCCTATAAAGAACTTTGGTATTTCTATTAATAACCCCGTTGTACTCTTGCAGTTCGAGAAGATCTTCCTCCGAGCTTTGAACCCCCAAAGAACTTTGATGCGTCAGCAATTTAGCAACGTGTTTAATATCAGGACCCATGTAATTCGGGTTGCAAAACCCAAACGGACCATCCTTCTCCCTATTTTTCTGGTTTTCGTCGTGGTTGGTCTTGACACTATAATTGCTCGCAGAGGATAGCCGATTCATGGTTTCGATGCTAGCGTAATCCGACGTCGAAGACACGTTTTCTTGTTCGTTCTGCAGCTTCATCATGTGTTGGTAGAGAGGGTTATCGGCGTAGCCCAAATGAGAGTTGTAACTTTCGCCTCGTTTCGGAGGGTTGTTGAAGCTCAAACTTGCCCTTTTACCAACTTGAATAGTGTCATTTGGGTAACTATCATTCATAATTTCGTTTTCGTCATCCGTGTCCAAATAAACTAACTTCGTGGCTTCTACTGGTGTCAAAGCCGGAGTTGGTAACGTCAAAGCAGAAAAATTAGGTACTGAGATAGGCTCTCGTGTGATTTTTTTCGTCAAGTCGTTCCTCCTCCTCTCGACTTCCTTCTGCTCGTCGTTATCAATTTGGTACTTCTTTTTTATCACGTATGCTGACTTAGACTTCACCATGGTGCTTCTTGGAGTGATATCAGAGTCGGTTTCTTCAAAATTTGGCGGAGTGGCGTGTTGCTTCAGCAAACTCTCCGTACTATCAGTGGTACACCCGGCAAGCACCGTATAGCTACACTTGCTATTCAGTCTAGAAATCTGCGATATCTTCGTTATTTCTTGCAAAAACCCCCGCATCGGTTTATCTTCGCTTGCAATCTGATGCAACTCACTACCATCAGTGTAGTTAGCTTGAGACGGTTGAAAAATGTAAGTCTTCTCGCATGGCGCCACCCGGTTATTTGGAAGATACGAAGAATGCCGATTGCTACGATCCGCCGAAATGCACGTCCTCGAACGGACTCTCGTCTTGTCTAAATAATTCACCGATTCGTGCAAAGACAACTCAGATATGGCAAAGGCCACGCTTTCGGAACGGGGCTGCGGCTTCGTTCCCGACACGCTAATTTTTTCCCATGTTTCTACACCTGAAAATGTCAGATTACACACGAAACGTCAATCCATCGACTTACTAAAGTTGAATTTCCAGAGTTCGTTCGTCGGGTGACCGTTTCTTTCACCGCCGAATAGGAGCATGGACGATGGAAGCCTGCAAACTGCGTGACTGTGTAAAGGCCCGGGGTTAATTTTGCTTTTAATTAGGCTCCATTTTTTGGAAATGGTGTCCCATCTCCAAAGGTCGCCGCGTTCTTGGAGGTCGGTCATACCGCCGTACACCCACATGGAATCGTCGTGGATGATGGCCGAGTGCTTGTGGCGAGGTGGCGGCAAAAGGTCCATGTTGTTGGTGGGTTTGGGGGGCGAGGTTGAGAGTAAATGCCAAGATTCGGTTTCTAAAAATAAAAAAAAAATAGTAAACAGGTTTTAGAAAAGAATTATTTTTATTTTTACCGAAGTGGAAAGCCCATAATTCGCTGCAGGATCCTCGAAGATCTTGATAGCCGCCATAAACAAGCATAGTTTCACGATGGACTAAAGCAGAGTGGCCTCTGCGACCTCTGGGAGTAGCAACACCTTTTTTCCAAATTAAATCATAATATTAATATTAATAGTATTAATTGCGAAAATATTTATGGACAAAATTATCGTGTCAAGTCGGTCATCTTATCTCACTTGTCCTGATTGAAGTCTCGAGTTTAAAATTGGTATACTTGACCAAATTCCTCGCGTTTTTGTGATGGATAAACTTGACACATAAACTAATATTTTAAGATAAAGAATCTTAAGTGAGTGTTGATGTTTTTACATTTGTGTCATAATTAACTAAGATTAATACCTTTTTTTGCGCGTATTTTTCTCCAGCTGTTATTTTTAATATCGTAGCACCACAAAGGAGTTTCAGTTCCAGCGGAAAACCCAACTTCGCCACCAAACACATAAATCCGGTCTTTATGAGCAACTGCGGAATGTTCCTGCAATGAAGGAAGTTTGTCGCCGCACGGCTGAAGCAAATTCCACTTGCCGCTAACTGAAATATCACGAAAACCAATATTTATGAGATTTATTTAAAACAATTCCAGCACGCTTTGCGTTTTGCGTCACGCAACTAAATCTTTTGATCTAGAGCCAACTGCAAATCAAAACGTTTTCGGGTAAAATTTACTTACTCATGTTATACTTCCAGAAGTCCTTGGTCGGTAAATTCCCGTTTCGGCCTCCTAGCAAATACACATTTTCCCCTATCAAAGTAGCACTGTGTTTCGATCGGGCTGACGGTGCTGGGCTTTCTAAGTCGACGGGCGCCACTGCACTCCACATTACCGTTTCCTGCGATTCAGATACAATGACTTAATAAAAATTAATAGGTGGTATTAAAATTAGATTAGTAGTTACGACAACGCCAAAGGAATATGGATTCGAACAAAACGGTGGTCCACCGCAATAAGTAGATTTGAAGCGTCACGATATAACATCCAGAAAAAATCACCCATCACTCATCATTCCTCAAAAAAAGAAGCTTATAAATAAAATGTGACAGCCCCAACATCATGCAAATCGTTCCCGACGCTAAACAAAAACCCACATTTTCATAAATTAACTTAAATTTTTTTGCGATATTTTTTCCGAATGCAAACATCAATCAAAATTAACATAATCTCCCCGTGTAATATTATGCAACATGCGGTAAAACTTTTACCAAAAATCAACGTCGGTGTTCCAGTCCCTGCTACCCTCAGTTGAAACGCATTCCATCCGTCTTTACTTAACACCGATCATAACTCAAAATCTACGATTCGTAGATTTCAATTTTATCAAAAACCAACAAATGCCTTCTTCATAATTCGTAAATATTATTACCACCACAGGAAGAACACCACACAGCACGGCACGACACACACGCATGCGTTTAACGCAAGACAAATTCGCTCAAATACCCTCTGGTTCATTTTATTATTGATCCCCGTTTACCGCATCCCCTGGAAAACGAATGCGCTGAAATTCGCCGGAAGGATGAAGTCGGTTGCGCAAGGTGGATGCATGTTTAAATGGGAACGAGGGAGGAATGGTGTGTGAATGCAAGGGCGAGTTCATGGAATATGCATTTGATTGTTTAGGTGCGGAGAAGGCGAAATTATAGATGAGGTAAGGGGTGATGGAATTTTTTAGTTGGGTCTTTTATTTGTACTATCACAATCGATAGAATGTTGCTGGTAGTTGTTTTCTAAGCGGAAGTGTGGTGGTACATACCGTAGGGTAATGAATAACAATGGGACGTATTATGTCATGGTTGAATGTTTATTTCTAGTTGCGGTTATTTCTCACGACATAGAAGTGGTCATAAGGAGCAGTGTCGGATTGAGGACTTGGGGTGCACCGGGAGATTTACAAAGTTTTGCTGGCAAAAATTTTCTTGTTTTTGGAATTTTGATGACGGTACCAAGAAAAACAAAGCTAGTAAAAAAATTGTGGAAGGTTGTTTTGACAGGACGTGTAACATCAGTGCTTATCGGCCGAGTGATCCTAAATTTTATAAAACAGCATACTCTTGTATTTTTTTAATTGAATACAAATTCGCAAAATCTATTTTGTTTAATTTTTCAAAGAAGCGAGGGAAGTTCTGTCGAAGTAACTTTCGACCATTTTTTTAAATATTCACATTTTTCGATTTCTCAAGTTTTTGATTTCTTAGTTTTTCAACTTCTCGATTTTCAATTTCTCGGTTTATCGAGATTTTGATCTTTCTATTTCTCCATCTTTCGATTTCTCAATTTTTCGGCTTTTCGACTCCGTTGGACTTTCCGATTTATCGGTTTTTCAATCTTTTGATGTTTCGTTTCTCAATGTTTCAGCTTTTTAATTTTTCGATATTTCAATTTTTCGACTTTTCGATGTTTCAGTTTTTCGACTTTTCGATTTTCCAATTTTTCGTCATTTGTTTTGGAATTTTTAAATTTAACAATTTATCAGTTTTTCGATTCTTGAATTTTGCGGTTTTCCAATTTTTCGATATTTTAAATTTCAGATTTTTTATTTCTCGGTTAATTTTTTAATTTTTCGACTTTTCCACTTCTTCCAATTTTTTACTTTTTGATTTTAAATTTTATTGATTTCTCATTTTTTCGATGTTTCAATTTTTCGATTCTTTGAATTTTTTAATTTTTGATTTTTCAGTTTATGGATTTTTTAGTTTTTCGTTTTTTAACTTTTCACATCTTTCGACTTTTCGATTATTCAATTTTACGAGTTTTCAATTTTTGAAGTTGCGACTTTTCGATTTTTCAGTTTTCCGATCTTTCAATTTTTCGATTTCTCAATTTTTCAAGTTTTTAATTTTTCGACTTTTCGATTTTCCAATTTTTCGATTTCCCAATTTTTCGTCATTTGTTTTGGAATTTTTAAATTTAAAGATTTATCAGTTTTTTTGATTCTCGAATTTCCGACTTTTCATTTCTTCCAAATTTTAAATTTTTAATTTTCCAGTTTGTGATTTTTCAATTTCTGGATTTTTTAATTTTTCTATATTTAGATGTTCGTTTGCTCGATCTTTCGATTTTCCGACTTTTCCGATTTCGATTTTTTAGTGTATCATTTTTTCGATTTTTCAATTTTTCGAAACTTGATTTTTAATTTTTCAACATTTCAATTTTGAGAATTTTTGAAAATCTGGATTTTTCAATTGTTTATATTTTAGTTTTTAGATTTTTTGCAGTTTCGATTGCTCGATGTTTCTAGTTTACGACTTTTCGGCTTTGCATGTATCAATTTTTACAATTTTTCAATTTTATAAAATTTTGATGTTTCCAATTTTCAATTTATCCAGATTTCGATCTTTCCATTTTTCGGTTTCTCAGTTTTCCGGTTTTTCGACTACACTCGATTTTTCGATTTCTCGGTTTTCCGATCTTTTGATGTTTCGTTTTTCAATGTTTCCGTTTTTCAAATTTTCGATGTTTCAGTTTTTCAACATTTCAACATCAGTTTTTTGATTCTTGAATTTTCCGACTTTTCAATTTTTAAACTTTAGATTTTTTGATTTCTCGATTTTTGGATTTTTCATTTCTGCCAATTTTTAAATTTTTGATTCTCCAGTTTATGATTTTTCAATACCTGGATTTTTCAATTTTTCCATATTTAGATGTTCGTTTGCCCGATATTTCGATTTTTCGACTTTTGCGATTTCAATTTTTCAATTCTTCGAATTTTTTGATTTTTGATTTTTCAGTTTATCGATTTTTTGATTTTCAATTTTTCAATTTTGCGAGTTTTCGATTCGAGTCCTTGACATCTTGGTTTTCCAATTTTAAAAAATATTTCGTCTTTTCGATTTTGCAAGTTTTTGATTTCTTAATTTTTCAACATTTCAATTTTGAGAATTTTTGAAAATCTGGATTTTTCAATTGTTTATATTTAGTTTTTAGATTTTTTGCAGTTTCGATTGCTCGATATTTCTAGTTTTCGACTTTTTGGTTTTACAATTATCAATTTTTACAATTGTGCAATTTATAAAATTCCGATTTTTCGAATTTTCATTTTATCCAGATTTTGATCTTTCCATTTTTCAATTTTTCAACTTTTCGATTTTCCAATTTTTCATTTGTATTGGAATTTTTAAATGTAGATTTATCAGTTTTTTTGATTCTTGAATTTTCCGATTTATCAATTTTCCGATATTTTAAATTGCGGATTTTTGATTTCTCGGTTTTTCAATTTTTCAACTTTTCGATTTTTAAATTTTAGATTTTTTGGTTTCTCGATTTCTGGATTTTTCGATTTTTCACTTCTTCCAATTTTTAAGTTTTTGATTCTGCAGTTTATTGATTTTTTAATTTCTGGATTTTCAATTTTTCGATTCTTCGAATTTTTAAATTTTTGATTTTTTACTTTATCGATTTTTCCGTTTTTCGATTTTTTAAATTTTCACATCTTTCGAATTTTCAATTATTCAATTTTACGGGTTTTCAATTTTTGAAATTCTGATTTTTAGATTTTTCAGTTTTCCGATGTTTCAGTATATCGATTGATCCAGATTTTGATCTTTCTATTTTCCCATTTTTCAATTTCTCAATTTTTCGGTTTATCGACTTCATTCGACTTTTCGATTTCTCGGTTTCTCGATCTTTTGATGTTTCGTTTCTTTATGTTTCAGGTTTGTAATTTTTCGATGTTTCGATTTTTTGACTTCGATTTCCCAATTTTTCGATTTCACAATTTTTTTTTTGAATTTTTTAAATTTAAAGATTGATCAGTTTTGTTTCTTGAAAGTTCCAATTTTTCGATATTTTAAGTTTCGGGTTTTTGATTCCTCGGTTTTTCAATTTTTCGATTTTTCGATTTTCAAACTTTGGATTTTTTGATTTATCGATTTGTCGATTTTTCACTTCTTCCAATTTTTAAATTTTTGATTCTCCAGTTTATGATTTTTCAATTTCTGGATTTTTCAATGTTTCCATAATTAGATTGTTCGTTTGCTTCATCTTTCGATTTTTTGACTTTTCCGATTTCGTTTTTTAAAATTTTCAATTCTTCGAATTATTCAATTTTACGAGTTTTCGATTCGAGTCCTCGACATCTTGGTTTTTCAATTTTAAAAATATTTCGTCTTTTCGATTTTGCAAGTTTTTGATTTCTTAATTTTTCAATAACGTTTCAATTTTGAGAATTTTTCAAAATCTGGATTTTTTAATGGTTTATATTTCAGTTTTTAGATTGTTTGCAGTTTCGATTGCTCGATCTTTCTAGTTTTCGACTTTTCGGTTTTATATGTATTTATCAATTTTTACAATTTTTCAATTTATAAAATTCCGATTTTTCTAATTTTCAATTTATCCAGATTTTGACCTTTCCATTTTTCAGTTTCTCAGTTTTTCGCTTTTTCGATTTCTCTGTTTTCTGATCTTTTAATGTTTCGTTTTTCAATGTTTCAGTTTTTCAATTTTTTGTTGTTTCAATTTTTCGATTTTCCAATTTTTTTTTCATTTGTTTTGGAATTTTTAAATTTAAAAATTTATCAGTTTTGTGATTTTTAAATTTTCCGATTTTCAATTTTTGATATTTTAAATTACGGGTTTTTGATTTCTCGATTTTTAGATTTTTCACTTCTTCCAATTTTTAAATGTTTGATTCTCCAGTTTATGATTTTTTCATTTCTGGATTTTTCAATTTTTCCATATTTAGATGTTCGTTTGCTCGATCTTTCGATTTTTAGACTTTTCCGATTTCGATTTTTTGGTGATCATTTTTCGATTTTTCAATTTTTCAATTCTTCGAATTTTTCAAATTTTTGATTTTTCAGTTTATCGATTTTTTAAATTTTCAGTTATTCAATTTTACGAGTTTTCGATTTTGCAAGTTTTTGATTTCTTAATTTTTCAACATTTCAATTTTGAAAATTTTTCAAAATCTGGATTTTTTAATTGGTTATATTTTAGTTTTTAGATTTTTTGCAGTTTCGATTACTCGTTCTTTCTAGTTTTCGACTTTTCGGTACAATTTTTCAATTTATAAAATTCTAATTTTTCTAATTTTCAATTTATCCATATTTTGATGTTTCCATTTTTCCATTTTTCGGTTTCTCAGTTTTTCGGTTTTTCGATTTCTCGGTTTTCCGATCTCGAGATGTTTCATTTTTCAATGTTTTACTTTTTCAGTTTTTGGATGTTTCAATTTTTCAACTTTTCGATTTTCCAATTTTTCGCCATTTCTTTTGGAATTTTTAAATTTAAAGATTTATCAGTTTTTTGATTCTTGAATTTTCCGATATTTTAAATTTCGGACTTTTGATTTCTCGCTTTTTCGATATTTCACTTCTTCCAATTTTTAAATTTTTGATTCTCCAGTTTATGATTTTTCAATTTTTCAACATTTCAATTTTCAGAATTTTTCAAAATATGACTTTTTCAAATGTTTATATTTTAGTTTTTGGATTTTTTGCAGTTTCGATTGCTCGATCTTTCTAGTTTCCAATTTTTCGGTTTTACATTTATCAATTTTTACAATTTTTCAATTTATAAAGTTATGATTTTTCGATTTTCAGTTTTCCGATATTTAAATTTCTCGATTTCTGAGTTATCCAATTTCGATCCTTCCCATTTTTCGGTTTCTCAGTTTTTCGACTCCACTCGATTTTTCGATTT